GCCCGCGCGCCAAACGAGCACTTCGGAGTAAATTGATGGATCCCCCTGACCTGGCGGATGAGGACCCTCTGTAAATTGCTCGTAAATTTTTATTTATTCCGCCGCAAATAAAACCCCCGAGAGAGCGGCCGCTCGCCTCAGTGTCTCTTCTTTTTCTTTGCCGCCGCGCCGCCGCGTTGCGTCGCGCCGATGTCGTCATTCGCCGACTCCTAATAGCGTTGGTGATTTTTGAGGATCGTAATTTTTAATCGGCACCGGCTCGCCGGATATCTCGATCTTCACGATCTTGCGATATTTACACTTTCCTTAGGTGCGAGTGCTAACTCTCGTCTGGCAAAGGTACGCATTACAATTTTACGAATCGTAAGTTTACGAATCGTAAATTCACACGAAAAAATGATTTTACTAAAGTATCTGAAAAATTAACTAAATACACGCTTGAAAATAATTTTGTTGGACTGTTAAAATAATAAATGTAGAACACTCAAGTCGATTGTTAGAATGTTAAAATAGTGTTTGTAACATTGCTTATTCTTCAGCGTTCTACATAATATAATAATTTTGATAATTCAATAAAATCTTTTTCAAATCTAGCTAAATTTTTAGATGTTTAAAAATAGTAGGTATGAAAAAATTTTAGCTTGATACACGGATTTGAAAATAATTATATTGAACTATCTATAAATAATTAAATTGCTCAAACTGGTTGTTAGAACGTTAAAACTTTTTATATACGGATTACTCGTCATGCTTGAGTTTCCTACATAATTATTTTGATGGTCCAATAAAATTATTTTCAGATTTCTACATTTTTAGATATTTCAGCAAAATTGTTCTTTCTGTGCGTCATTGTGAGATTCAGATTTTCGATATTTTTCTGTCATTCTTTAATCGAGATAAAATAATTATAAACGCCTCTGAAATGAGTTCAATATTGAATATTGTTTCATGTGAAAATACTTACAGAAAGAATCAGTTGCAGTATCTACTAGTTTAGTCGAATATAGATTTAAAAATAAATTTCGTTGGACTATCAAAATCATTATGTAACTCAAACTGATTATTAGGATGTCAAAACTTTTTGCAACATTGCTCATGCTTGAGTTTTCTACATAATTATTTTGATGGTTCAATAAAATTATTTTTATATCTACCTAAATATTCAGATACTTCAGCAAAATTGTTCTTTCCGTGCGCGCCTCGCTATTAAACATCTGCGGCGTTTCAAGCTTAACAAATAGAGAAATATAATACAAACATATCGAGAGCGAAGTGTCAAACGGTCCTCGACATTTCCGATCTCTACTCTCGTCGAAGTCGAGTACAAAGCGAACGCCACGTGAATCGATAACTTGATATCATCCCCTCGCAATAAGCTCGTGCATGCAGCAACGCTCCTCATCTGAGGGGGCGAGAAACGCCGGTCAGCAACGCCGGAAAGGATCGCGTTGAATCCCGGTGGCGTGACGGGCCGCCTACTCGCGGTCGGGCCCGCATTGATCAAAGCGGCAATTACTGTCATCGTAATATTACTCGGGACGTTACTCACGACCGAGTCGGGACGTTAGGGACCACATCACCTCTGCCTTAAACGTTGCGCGCCGTATAAGCCGTGGCGGTTGTGGCCCGCGTAATAATTTCCCGGAATTGCGTTTGATGTGGCGGGGCGTTATTAGTTTTCCATGGAAGCGTCGGCAATTTTTCATGTCGTTCGCCCTCTGACCGGTTCGGGCCGGGCGACCATGATTTGTCGGTTTTACACCCGAGTACTGACGTTGCTGATGGACGGTCGGACGAACGAATCGTTACGAAAGGAACCGGAAAAAAGAAAAGAATTAAGCTGGTGCGTATATCTTGGTATCTTCACAGTAACATCGGTTGTTTCTAAGTAGAAAGAAAAATTCTATTCTTAAGTATTACCTACTATTCTATAGGAATATGTATAGGATATATTTAAGGTGTTAACCATAACGGTGTTAAACATTTATGCACCGACTTCCTTGTCAACACCTCTCATGATTTTGAAGAACAAGCGTGAAATCAGATAGGGTAAGACGGTAGCTGGCGGCAAACATGAGAGCCGTTGACACGAGGCGATAAATTCGATGCTTTTGGACTGAGAGGGAGCGAACCGAGTCGAGTCGAGCGGTTGGTCAATAAATGTCAGAAAACGGAGAAAGGGGATCCTGGTCACGGTGCGGTTTTGTGAAATTCTTAGTAGGTTAAGGCTGAAAGCTGCGACTAATAATGACTCAGTCGCTCGGGTCAAACACATAAAAACAGGGCGAAGATTTATGAACGCACCACGAGCTTCGCTCAGCATGACTCTGGATGCCCATACTGCGAACTAGACTCGAATATAATGGGAACGTCAAGTCCGAGGACTTGAAAGTATTAACGGCGGTTAATGCTGAAAAACGAGCATCAGTAATGTCGAGTCTGCATGACGACCAACAGGTATCAATTGATTTTTGCTGATCACCATTCGACACATCGTCTATCAAAAATTAGTAGAAGGACTGTTCCACTCTGTCGAAAAGGATACATAATTAACGAAAGGAAGATTCATTATTTTCTTATTTCTTTGAACCTAAGTCTATAATAATGCAGCATTCATAGTGTCCATTGCCAAAGTTTGAATCGATATCCTTCATTTTTATACTTTTACTTTTAATTCTTGTCTTTGTTTAAAATCCTTGAAAGCCATCGAGGACACGATGATATATATATGTTCAAGAATGATGCTTTTACGCATAATTCACCGATCAGAATACGATACTTCCGCTATTAATGGATTTTTATTTCATTCACTCGCTCTTGGGACACGTTGGGTTCTCGCGACCTTCGGCGGAATCTCCCGTTGTTCGGGTCGGATACCTGGGACATAAGGATGTGTGGGAGGTCTTTATTCGCCATCGAACAGGTGAGGGAGTGAAGGAGGAGGACTACTCCGCAAGCAGAAAAGGCAAGAAGAAGCAAGAAGCTCTCGTGTGTACCCCACGGGATATCCTCGAGCGGGTGGACGGGGTGTACTCTTCGCTTATAAAGCCGAAGGAGACGGAGCGAGAAAGAGGGAGAGCTCCATCTATTTTCGCCTCCCTGTTCCAAGCAGAAGCGGGATGATTTATGCGGAGCGGGTGCCGCGGCTCCGCGCCGCGGGAGAATTCTCGCTTTCAGCTCCGCACCCAGCCGTGTCGTCGGGGTGGCGGAGTGTGCCGTGTTGCCTTTTCTCTCTCTCTCTTCCTCTCTCTCTCTCTCTTTTCCTCTCCCTCTCCCTCCCCTTTCCAACATTGGTGCGAGGACCACGATGTGTCTTTCTCGAATGACGTGCAACTACCGGCCGTCGTTCTTTTCTAGTTTCTTTTTTTTTTCTTTCCCAGTTCTTCACCGAATGTTTCCACGAGAGGGCAAGCTAATCATAGAGCGACCACGAGAGAGCAGGCTGAGTTATGTGCCTTTCGAATGAACGACACGCGGACTTGGGGTAGGCACCTCGTCTGCAATTTGTTAGAAACGAACCCACGAAATCAAGTTACAATGTATGATTCAAGTTCCACACGGAGAAATCTGACACGAGTTTACTTTCGATGAGACACAGCTATTGATATACTTTATTCTCCAACGTGTAGTGTAAAAATATCTCTTTACATCCACATTCGTAGAGAAATCGTGAAGGAGAGATTTAATTTAATACTTCCAACGTGATAATATAGAAGCTTGTATTATTAGATACTACAATGAAACGTAACTATGACAAATTATAAGTATTAAAAGGGAAAACCATAAATATGAGTACAGTGTGGTAATCGTTACTCAAATAAAATACAACACAGTTAATTTAGAAGTAAAAATCTAATTTAAATCTAAATTATTTGATATTAATATGTTTCAATTTTTCGTGTCATCCTCAATTTACAATTGGCATTTTACAGATGTTATTAATATTCTGTCAATATAGATCCATAAAGATGGAAAATTTTTATTAGAGGAGTAGCATTAAAACATTTTTCTGCCTCTGACTTTGCATTAACGAGATAAATTATTAATAACATCTTAATGTAAAATGTCAAATGTAAGCTGAAAATAACTTCAAAAAAGTCAAAACATATTAATATTATGATTTATATTTACATTTCCAATTAACTAACTTATGTATAAGTATTTTATTCGCATATCAATTATACTACACGCTGTATATTCATATGTATGGTTTTCCTTCTTAATCCTGGTGCACATGATGATTTTCTAATTCTTAATTTATCTATATTACATAATAGGTCGTTCATGTTACGGGTAATTTTCATCACTTTTACAAGCATACACAAATTATTAAATAATTCTTACGTATACATTACTACGTTTAGAAAGTATTTATAAGGATGTATATTAAAAAAATATATATCTAAATGTTATGACTACTAAAAACAAATGGTTGCAATTACTACAATTTAACTATAATCATTTCATCAGCATTTTTTTGGGACAATCATTTTTAAAAAGTGATTTAAATTATAATAATTACAATCATTTATATGGTAATAATAACTATAATTACAGTCATTTTCAGTGCCAACTACACATGTATTTGATGATAGAAATTATTTATTACTATTGACACTACAATAATTATAATAACATATAATTCTAGTCACAAATAAACAAAAACTTTTTTCTCAGTGTAATTGCTTGGTGCTCTTAGTATTTTAAAGAAAAGGAACAAATGAAATGAATGATGTATACCAAGGATTAATGATGTTTAATATCGTGAGTTGTATATAACTTATCAACAAATGATATATTCGCAAAGCACGCGTTGGCATTTTCATAGCATCGATGCAGCAAGGAGAGAATACGTATCGATGGCCATTTCGATATGCAAAGTGCTTTTCGTAATGATAGATTGGTCGTTACCAGCGGTCGCGGTTAAATCAAGGCGAAATGTGTACGCTACGACTACTGCACCGTTACGGATATCATCGAGGAGAAGCGCTCCAAATTACCTTCGATGAGCAGATCGGCAACAAAGGCACGTGTTTTGCTTCTTCACCCGGGCTCCATTTATCTCCGCGCGCACAATACGATCCGGATTTGACACATCTATCAGCGTAGAATGCTCAGCCCGGTCCGCCCTATTCTTTACTCTCCTCGACACGCTGCCGCCGCCGATTGCTTGATGGAACAAAACTTCTACTAACGCACCTCTAGACTTCTCCCGGCGAAAAATCCCAAGGAGGAAAAATGTGACTGATACCCCTCCCTTCTGATACTCCCTAACGTAGTGCCTCCAACGTAATTGCTCTTTTTGTATCGCACCCTTCTGCCCGGTGACCTGGAATTATCGGATACGAATTGTGATACATCTGACACGATGGATGGCCAAGACACGTGAGAAGATCCAATGCGAACACGTAACACTCCATTGCGTGCGCGATGATAGTCGCCCGAGGTACATACCAAGTCATTATCGGGAGACTCGCTTTTGAGAGGTTTCTATGGAAAGAACCACTGACAGAGGCGATTACCATACACCGTCAAGGCGGAGGAAAGGCCTGTAAATTAACGATTGTAGAGACTGCCGTGGGTCAAAGCGAGCCGCTAAGCCGTTGAATCGTCATTATCGCTCTCGCGAGTGGTGACGCTGATAGATGCCGCCTCTAAATGATGATGGATGGCTCGTATAACTGTCGCAATATACGGCTACCCGATGAGCTTCGTATCTTGATTTACTGCCTGCACGTTCGCCATTTTGCAATTCCGCGTACGCATAAGTTTCGCTGCTATTATCACCGGATCTCTCTTTTAATTCCTTATGAAAAGAGTAATAAATGGGATTGCAATGACGTCAACGTATTCGCGGAGAGTTCCGTGGAAGATGCTCCCTGATCCGGTTCAATACGAGATAGATTAGAAACAGCTCGGGACGTTGCAACAAATTTGTTTTGCAGTAGAAATTGTTTTAATGACGTAATGCAGCAGATATTTCTCGGTCTAAATAGATTATTTTTTTATCAGCTCCATAAATACCGGGAAAGTTTGTTATGGCAATCATAAACTGATTTAAAATTATAAGCAAACATAATTTATCAGATAAATACAAAATACAGTAAGATAAACTACAATAAAAAAAATAAGGAAGTCGATGATCGAAAATATTTATCTTAATAGATAACACGATTCTCTACACGCATGCCGAGATATATTATTTTAGCGATAGAACTAACGTTTTATTTTCAGAATCAATAATATATAATTTTATCGTTTTAATGTCTTACTAAACATCTTATCGATTCATTTAATCAAATATTAAATACGAGTTCCAATTATTTATTTTATAGTTTCTATTTTTAATCATATTTGATAAAGCATCGAATCTGACATGTAGTTTTCTCAATGTTTTATGTATATGCATACATACATAATACATATATAATATATATATATATAAAGAGAGAGATTTAGATTATTCTTATTTATTTTGTAAAAAAAGATTAAAGCAGATATAATGAGATTTTTGCATAATCAAGGGTTATAAACTCTACTTTAATTCCTGTTCTAAAGATAAGATCAACCAACGATTAAATATAAAACTGAAAGTTCTATACACACGCACGAAGGATATTTATATATTTAATTATCGTGGTAGGATGAAAGTACACTACTTGGTATTGATATCGTATTAACATAATAAATAAATTTATATTCGCAATCGCAATCAGCGAAGACATAAATATACGTTCCCGTGATATTATTTCACATTTATAGCATACTATATATATTTTAACCGGTTGGTCATAATGAATTTAGTCATCGAATTTAGTCATTTGCATGCCTTGCAACATATTTTGAGGAATTTTGAGTGAAGGTTTGAGTGAATGCGCAAGTACAGTCTGAAAATAAACGAGAGATTTTAGTCCGCTGCCATTGTAGGTTCAGCCTGATTCACGCATGCAGACGGCAGTCGCTACCAGATCTCTCTGTACCCTTCCCAGCCTCTTTTCATTTACTCACAGCTCATCCCGCACCGCGGTCGCGGGAACATCGTTCATCACCCTGATGCATAGGCCTCCATAATGCTTGACAACGGCCGACGAGACGGCTATGCCTGGTGCGGTAGATATTTCCTCCTCCTAAATTAACGCCTTGTCATTAGCAGGCCATTTCAGACCAGTGCCCGGTCGTGACTGCGGACTCCAAAAACTCCGTTTCAGTTCTCGCTCTTGACATGTCGTATTAGATTTTAGGTTTGTTTTCAGACAATTCAATTGGCTCAAAAAATGACGTGTGAACAGAGTTAGTGGAACTTAGAATAGGCTTCCTTAAACAATGTTAAATATAGATCGAGAAACGAAACAAGGATGTAATAATGCATGTAATAATGAAAAATAAAATCGTCGCACGTTATAGATTATTTTATATATCAAGTATATCTCTATCTCTCTTTCTCTTTCACGAACACTGAGTTAGTTAAAACAATGCTGTTGAAGATGTGTTATTCTTGATGTATGTTGGTGTTCACATCTATTGTCTTCTTTTTCCATCTTTATTATCTTTTAAGTAGGTGAGATGGTCACAGCACTCCAGTACCCTGGTTCTGTAATTCTTTACGACAGTTTAGTATTACATTATGTAGGTGTTTTTTTCTATGTATATCTGCGCAGCGAGACATATGATATCGACATTATCGTTAGAAGTTACAGAATCGGAGTACAGGTATTTTTTTTTAAATCTTGTTCTAGAAAAGGAAAATAAAAAGTATTGCTCAGAAGTCTTAAAGTTCATTATTTTTACATTCCTCTATCTCATAAGGGTATAACTAATATTTTAATTATAATGTAGTAAAAAATATATCTATAAAATTGTATTTTTTTACGTGTTTTGAGCACTCAATTTATCAACTTGTATCTTTAAATCATCTAATTTTCAACTACAGATACGAAAAAAAATAAACTACATTTAAGTTCTAAAATGACGTTTTGTTGAAGTACAGAATACAAGTAAACATTCGACGGCGATTAGTAAAAGAAGATCCAAATTTTTATTTAGAACCTTGAATTAAATCAATTGTACAAATTTTACCGTCTAAAATTTCCACTTCGGATCCAATTGACTCTGCTGATGTTAGATTAAAGTAGAAAAAGATCTATGCCGTAGGCATAAACATTGATTAAGTCAATGTCTAATTACAAATCTTGAACAGCGTTTCAAAATGTAAAATTAAAAGCATCTTAATTTTGACGTTAACATTTTAATCTTCTGTCTACGCGGTATTGTATCGGAGCATCAATAGCCTAATTCCCACAGCGAGAAAATCTCGCGAGAATAGAATGAGGTTCGTAGTGCAAATTAGCGTGGCGAACCGACTGCTGAATCAGTAAGAGAGAACTGACATTAGCTCTGACACCTTGTCGAGAGGGCAACGTGTTGCGAGTTATCTGCGCGAGTCACTCGCGTCTGGACCTGTTACTATCCGCTAGTGGCGTTACTCTCTCTTTACCGATTTATCGGTAGTAATAATTTATCGCGGCGGTGGCGGAGAATCAGACAATGTAATGGCCTGGTGATCGATCGAGCCACCGTGATATGTCACGTCGAGATTAGCTGACACGTCAAAATGGACTCGCGTTTATCTCCTCAGCCGAAACAGTGGAATTGCACAATGAGCATTTCCTCGAAACACCACGAATATTCTTATCTCTCTGATGATTACCTTCTCTTTCATTCTTTTGGGGGGGTAAATAAATAAATTCTCTCATACGTGATGATTAAATACACCACGACAAAATTTTGTGCAGGTCATTAAATAAGCCATCTTTATTACATATTATACATATAGTTATATTGTTGCGTATTTAAGAAATAGTAATATTACTTTTTAAATAATAATTTAATAATTTTTTACAATCATTGAAAATATTATAACAAAATATTTATCAATACATTCAGTATATTAGGTGTTGGAATTAATTCGTAGCGTTTTACAAGTGGTGGGAAGTACTTTCATTAATGTATTTTTTAATGCTCATGTGAAATAAATAACATTCTTTCATTAAAAACGCTACGAATTAATTCCAACACCTAATATAATACAATAAGCATAAAATAAAACAATATTTGCATAAAAGTAGTAATTAGTTTTTGCGTGATCAGAAGTAAAATTATATTGGAGTCATTTTAATATTTCAATAATTAAATCAAATTTTATTAAATCAATATTTAAACTTAGACGTGTTCAATCTTCTACGATCATTGTAGAAATATGTGCTACTTAATAATGTGGATGAACATAGCTAATTAAAATAAAAATATTACGTAGGGATTATCTTAAGGCTATATTGAACGTTTGTTTTAAATTGTCTAAAGGAAGCATCAATAATATTGTATAAAAAAATTGTACAATAATTATCGTCTAAGGATCTTTTAAAAATAAAAGTAAGAAAGTATATTAACTCTACACACGATAATTTTCTGATTCTTTATTACATACGATAAGTCATTTGTGTCTCTGATTAATTTTCATCATTTTTACAAGTATATCAAAATTATTAAGTGATTCTTATTTATACTTGAATATTTTTAAAAAGTATTTGTAAGGTTGGGTAAAAAAAATGGTATGTAAATATATAATTAATTATTTGGTACTCCTAGTATGTCAAAGAAAAGAAATGCGTATGGATACGGATAAACCAATCGCAGGATTAATTATTGTCAAATTTTGGATTTGTTGCGTTTAAATGATAAACCGCCAGGATAGTTCAAAGCGAGGCTGATCGATAGGTAGCTGACGGGTAGTTGAGGGGTTGTTGAAGCCTTGACCCTGGTCTTGTAGTCGGCGGCTTTAATGCTAGTGGCTCGCAGAAGCCGATGCTCTTTCCGCCGTCCAGATCAAGGCTCAGCTGTCCGTTCAGATAGGAATCTGGCCGGGGTTTAATGACGGCTCGTGACGGACGGGTATCGAAGCCGCCAAGTCGGCAGCGGCCAAGTCGAGGAGAAAAGAAAGGGTTAACGGGAGGGAACAGGGGAAGCCGGCAGTCAGACGTGTCACATCTAACGGCGCCGCGAGATCTACGGCCTCGTTTTACCAAGCGCATCGGATTCTTTTAGGGTTCGGTGATGGTGGATTCTCTTTCTATTGCACAATGTACTGTAGGGCATAGTTAGGACGGGGTAGAAAATGTGTGTTGCTGAAATGTTAGGTGGGCATCGATATCTAAATTTGATCGACGTCCGTCTAGTGTTGGGTTTTCATTCCGATAATATCAGCATTCGTGCCTCGCCAGATCACAACACAGTGCAATATCCAATCCTGAGATATATAGACACATGTATATTTATATGCTACATTAATGTAACGTTTATTTAAATTGATTTATCGCCGTTGAGACGCTTCGTTCGTTGACCATTTGCGATGTCTGCATATGCAATCATTATCGATGTATTAGCACGTGTAGATAATCAATCTTACAGTCGTTTATATCGCGTGCAGATTTTAGAAACTCGTGTAAGCGTAAAAGAATTATAGTTTAACATAAATCAATGCAAATATTGACTTATCATCTATAAAAAGATACGTATTCAAGCGTAACAAAAAAATTTGGAGCCATTATGACAGCAGAATAAAATTAAATTGACATTAAAATGACTCCAAAATGATAATTAAAAGTGACTTTTCGATCAGTCATGATTAAAATGATCATTTTAACGTTATCTTGACGTTATCACGATTCGTTCTGTTTGGGTAACGAGAT